GTGTGTGTGTGTGTGTGTGTGTGTGTGTGTGTGCATGTGTGGCAAACACTTATGTGTGCAGATTGCACAGGACTGGGACTCCTAAATTTTGTTATTCTCCGCAATATTGTATCCTTCTGACACAACACACGATGCGATATGCTAGTAATTATATGATGTCTCACAATATCGTTCGTATCGTGACACTGTTAAATAACATAAACTTGAACATATTTGACACTCATTTTTAAGAATTAAAGCTCCTGACTTCCTCGCCGCGAAGCTCTTGATTGATGACGTCAGAAACGAAAAGATACATGCTAAAAATTCTTGCGAATTGCACTGAAGTAAAACTATATATTCACAAAATATGTTTACATTTGCAATCCAGTCGAATATATCTACAAAATAATCCGAACATTTACCCTTTGCTCTAACAATCAGCAAATTACTGTAAAATTAATGTGACATATAATCTCTCTTTTTAACCTGTTATCACGTTAATTTTATGGTTATTTATTGATGTATTGAAAGGAAAGTACTCAAACTGTTTTATAGTTTGATCTACTCGACTATTCGATATATAGTAGTAGATTTATTCGATTGATTGCAAATGTGAAAATATTTTATAAATATGTAATTTTATTTATATATATTTTGCAAGAATTTTTAGCATGTATTTTCTCGTCTCGACGAGAATTAATGCGTTAATGAGACACTTGTTTCCTTACTTCGGCCATGAATTAGACGGCCGCAGCGAGGAAACAAGAGCTTCAAACGCATCTAATCCTTCAAAATGATACGCATGACGCATCTCTCATCGCACTTGCAACCTTCAATCATCATTCTACGCGTCGCAAAATCATCCCCTCGACCCGAATCAAACCCGACGCTCGTTTCGTCCTAAATCCGACAGGGATGCCGACGACCCCAACAACACCGACACTTGCTAACCGGCTCCAACCGTTTTTTGCTTCCTTCATTTGCAGATTCAAGATCGTGGCTGTTGGAGCAAAAGCACAAGATAAGGCTCAGCAATGTACCGGAGAAGTTTCGCGACTTGACGCTACTTGACAAACGATACACGTGCGACACTTGCGGCAAGTCGTACAAATGGAAAGAATCTCTCTGCAAGCACCAGCGCATCGAGTGCAGGAAGCAACCGCAGTTCATCTGCAAGATATGCGGCTATCGTTTCATGCATAAGCATCATCTGACGAAGCATGTCACGAGAATTCATTTCGAGCGCTTATTGTGATCGTGAAATTAACATGTTGACTGCAGCCGTGGGACTCATCCCGACTACCTATACTGTGATTTTGCCGCGACCCATTAATTTACAGTCAAAACATAATCAATTGATGAATTAAATATATATGTGAACAATAGGAAGCATGTACAAAAGTACGTGCAGCTGAATGTATACATTTACTGCGTAACTTTGGTTACAAACATATATAATCTCGTCCTTAGCGGAATCCTCTTGTGTACGAGATGAGTCAAGAACTACTGGAATATTCCATCTGGAATATCTTCGAAGCAAAACACAAAGTTGAGCTTCAGATCTCTGAAATTACTCTACTTAGAATATGCATGTTATGGTGCTCTCTAAATTTCTTAAGTGAATTAGTTTAGATGATTTGAGTGGAAGTTCACCCAAAAAGTGGAATGATCACCGAGTCACTCGAATTTGAGTGATTTTCCATTCAAATAGAGCGAACTCTTCACTCTGAATCGTCGATTGAATGTCTTCACTCGAAATTGAAGAGTAGATCTGATATATTCCATTGTGATATAGAAACATATTCATTCTAGTCGACTGAAACATTTACTATAGAATCTACTTTAAACCTAAATAAATCATTCATTCTTCACTTCGCGACTTCAAGTCGCAGTATATTCACTATCGCTTTGAGTGAAAATATTACCACTTTTCACTTGTTTTAAGTGAGACTTGCTATTCCAAGAAACTTAGTGATTAGTAACTCTTTTTTTCCAAGTAGACTAACTTCGAAGATCTGAAGATCATCTTTGTTTTTACTTTAAAAATATTCCACATGACAATTGTTACTGACTCACGTATATGGTCTCTCTCACTTTCTCTCCCTAAATGATTCTTCTAAAACCAAGGAAAATATTCTAATATTATTCTTTTTCATTAGCAGAGAAATATTTTTTCAGTAATTTTTTGTTTGGAATATAGGATTACAGGAAGTAACATTTTGCGACTAGAGGTATTTTTTTTTTGTTGGAATATATTCTTTTTGAGTTTAGAAAGATCCTCTCGGGACCATATATGAGAAGATTTCGCCAAGGATGAGATTATATCTTTCTGAATATATATAGACGCAATTTTGTCAAGCTTTGGAACAATCCATGAAAGCCAGAATAGTAGTCAATATGTTAAAGCGATTCTCAATAAGACCTAAACGAGTAATGTTTCATTCTAAAAATGGAAAGGTATATCTGAGTATACATCCTACAATGATATGCCGGCTACACCGAGAAAAAAAGCAGTTAGATCGACAAAATCGTCAATCACTCGTCAAAACAAATATTGTATCTATTGAAATTACACGCGGTAGAGTGCGATAATAATCGAAGTCAATCAGAATAGTCAATGGATTAAACACATTTGCTCGAACGAACTTTGGTCGTTCTAACAAAGTCTCATTAATTCCATCACTTTTTTCTGTCGGTGTAAAAAAGAGACTTTTTCGCATGTGCTAAAAGCACTACATGTTTTGCGCTGAATATTGACTTATATTTGGACGCGCAATCCTTATTGTAACATTTGCATTGTGATTGTTGTAAAAGAGAAATAAAGACACTATAAGATATAATCCTCAGCACTGTGAACACAGCGATTATAGGTTTTCCGTGTTACTCTTATATGTAATTTGTTTCTTTTCTTACATATTATTTCATTGACTCGTGTCTGTATAGTATCGACTTTTAGATCATTTCTTCGTGGCCGCGGTTGAAAACTACAACAGCAAACCGTAGCGCACTAACAAAGTGCTTACGCGCGACGATAATTGACGAAGTGCTGTTCTTCATCGACGTGCCGCACGACTTCATCGACGTTTATCGATAGATGGAACGAAGAATGCGGGACAGCCTCGGAAGATTTCGCGATCTGATCGATTGGCTATCTCTTTTTCAGGTGGCGCGGGGATCCCGTCAAATGGACTGAGAGCTCGCAGCTATTCTCTCTCGCGACGAGCACAACAGACCTCTCCACGGCAGCAGAAAACGACTGTGCGAGGAACGCATTAAATGCCGTTATCCTGGCCAGACATTTACACTTCGAATATTCTCATTATTTTAAATTTGATATATCGATTTAAGTTTGAATTTGGGAACTGCGTTTGAGTCTGCTGATCCCTCGCCGCGGAATTCTCGATTGATGATGTCAGAAATAAAAAAACGCATCGAAATTCTCAAATGCCATTTTCAAATAAAAAAAATATTCGTATGGAAGAATACTTCAGATCGCTTGAGTATACTTGCAAAATGCTCCGGAAACTGTCATTTTCTCATGATAGTCAATAAATAGCTATAAAAGATTAACATGAGATGCAACCTTCCTCTTTAATCTACTCTTTTCCATGATTTTGTCACGTTGCATTTACGGCTATTTATTAACTGACATGAGAAATGGATAGTTCTCGGAGCATTTTACAAGTACACTCAAACGAACGAAGTGTTCTGAAGTGTTCCTCCCTTCACATTTTTTATTTAAAAATGACACGCAAGAATTTTCAGCGTACCATTTCTCGCTTCTAATGGTACAATCCAACATGGCCGCGGCGAATACCAAAAGTCTTAAGGCCCTTATATTGGGCTCACTTTTATCGATAAAAGTCCCTAAAAAACGTGTCTTATAAGCCTTCTGATTGGCTTTCTGTCACATTCAAAGGCATTTTTATTGATGAAAGAAAATACAGAATAAGTGAATGTTTATTCCTCTTTTAATGTTAACGTGTGTGTGTGTGTGTGTGAGAGAGAGAGAGAGAGAGGGAGAGAGAGAAAATATAAAATTTGTTGAATTGATGATTATTTGTTGCGATCTCTATAAATATATAAATCCCTAAATATATGCAACTTTCTGAAAACTTCGAAAACAAAACGAAATGTGACAACCTGATGATGTTAAGAACCAACAGTGTTTGCGCGCGCGTAACGCTTTTTGAGATTCGTGTGATTAAGCACGGTAGAGGACCTTAATCCCTTATAACAGCTTGTTTCTCTTGTGCTGTGTCTACTACTGAATCTTTGTCTATATTTGTTTGCAAACATCATTCTGTTTTAGATGCAATATGTTTATATTAGTGACACAAAGAACACGCGCGATAATACCTCCAAGAAAATAAAGATTGATCTATCAATGAGAAAAAAAGAAAGTGGCAGCGTTCCCAAGTCACTAATATGGAAATAAGTTGTGCGATGTTTTCATTGATATGCGATGTTATTATGTATGTATGCGATATGTATCCCATATATTTGGTGTTCTTCTTAAAGCACAAAAAACAACGAAAGATATTTATGCTCATGCTAATCTTGTTGACTTTTCTATTCTGTTTTAGCGTGAATTTTCCTAACTTCTACCTAGATCCACGACATAGAACGAGTATATACATTGTATTTTCCTTCCTTTCTTTTTTCTTTTTTTCGTGCAAACATGTACAGTGTAAGTCTTTCACCCGACACTTCTTTCACCCAACAATATTTTGCACTCTCGATCGACGGTGTCCCGGTTTCGTGTCGTCTGTAGTGTTAACCCAATAAGAAGAGAATTCGTTTGCACTAACACGATAAATCAGGGTTGTTATCTATTCGTTCAGGTGAAGGTATGCGCATTGGCTAGCGAACGCACTTGAGCATTGACGCGCAAGTGAATTTGACAAATTATTAAGCTGATAAAACGATCGAACGATAATTTAATAGATCGTCAAATTGAGGGAATGTTTTGGTTTAGATAGCCGAAAGATACGAGGTTTTCACGAATTTTTTTCAAAGAAATAAATATATCAATATAGGGTTTTTTTATTATTTATTATTGTTTTAAGTAATAAAAAATAATCATTCTTTATTGAGGAGAAATTGAAATTTCACTGTTCAGATTCTTCATGCTGAACGCAATAACTGTATTTATTTTGCTGAAGGATGAATCTTATACAGGGTGTTCAAAAAGTCCCGGACCGGTGAAATATCTCGAAAACTAAGCATTTTAGAAAAAAATGTTTCAGATAAAAGTTGTGGCGTTTAAAAAGATGTATTTACTGATCACATCAGTTTGACCTTG